TTGAATCATTCCAAAACACCATTTCTGGTACGTTGATCGTGGGAATCCGTGAAACACTTGCAAATGTTTTGAACCAATGTGCGCGGCGCCAAGGCGAGAGCCACATTTTGAGAAGGAACCGCCCTCTATCCGTGAAACTCGTGTAATGTTTTGGAATAAATGCGGGCGGCGCTAATGCGAGAGCCACATTTTGAAAACGGGCTATCCTCAATCCGTGAAGCTCTTGCACATGTATGAAACGAATGTGTGCGGCGCTAAGGCGAGAGCACATTTTGAAAACGGATTGTCTTCAATCCGCGAAACGTTTGGAAATTGTTAAAAAGGAATGTGCGCGGCGCTAAGGCTAAGCCACATTTTAAAAGTGCAAACGGCGAGGAAGTCTCATGCGAAACGCCCAGCCCGACCTAACAACTGGCCTCGGGGTGCGACAGAGAGAAGTTATTTATGAGGAGCAGGAATGGAGGAGGAGGAGGAGGAGGAGGAGGAGGAGGAGGAGGAGGAGGAGAAGGAGGATGGAGGAAGGAGGACGAGGAAGGAGGAGGAGGAGGGCCCGGAGGGGCCGCCGGGGGCCGACGGGCGCCGCCGCCCCGGCGCCAGCCGCGCGGGGACGCCCGGAGGCGGCGCGCCGCCCTCGGCGCCCGCCGGCACGGCAGGCCAGCTCACCGCGACCGGGGGCCGCGGGGCCGCCGCGGGCGCCACGGGGCCCCGCCGCGGAGGCGCGGCCTCGCACGGCGGGGGGCGCTCGGCCGCGGTCGCCGCCGACGACGACGACGACGGCGGCGACGACGACGAGGACGACGACGGGCGGCGGCGGCGTCGACGGCGCAGTCGTCGACGCCACCGCCGCCGCGCGTCAGGGTCGTCACCACCATGGTTGGCGCGGGGGCCGGCGTCGTCGACGCCGCCGTGGTCGTCGTGGCGCAGGCGGCTGGGGAGGGGGGGCGAGGGGCGAGAGGGAAGGGGGAAGGGGGGGGGGCGAGGGAAGGGGAAACCTGTTCTAAGTCGGGAATGATATTCAAAAATAGTCCCAAAATAGTCTGGGCACGATTGTCCTACTATTTTGTGCTATCTTGGAATTATATTTCGACCAAGTTTGATTTGTCTTCGACAATCCGCCTGTAGGAGAACATGCCCGACCTAAAACTTGTTGGACATGCGCCACTTCCCATGGTGTCCTACAGCTGGTCTTCCCTTGAGGCAGAAATCTCTCCAGCGTGGTCTCCGGACGCTTTGGAGCCCTGCCTTTGTGGATCTCGCGCCAAAACTCTTTAGATTTCGCGGCGAGGCGGCAAGGCTGACCCAAATTCTTCACCTGGCCCAGCGTTGCCAAGGCATTACAGTGAATGCACACGAACAGGAGACGACGTCGACGACGACAACGATGATGATGACGCTGACGATAACGAAGACAACGACGACAGAAGGCGAGTAGAGGGAGGAAGAGGACGAGGAAGAGGAAAATAAGGAAAAGAAGGAAGAGGCGGAGGAGGAAGAGGGATAAAAGAAGGAGAGAGGAGGGAGGAGAGAGGAGGAGCGCGAACAAGGGGTGAGAGGAGGAAGCAGGGAGGAAAGATCGTCAGGGATCGGTCGTCTGAGAGGGACAACAGTGTGCACCAGCAGCGGCAGCACTCAGGAAAGGCCCTACCGGCCTTGCATTCTTGGGGGAACCCAAACAGGCACCCACGCCGCTCCCCCCTGGACCTCTCCTGGGGTGCGATGTGACCAGGATTCCAAGAAGAATCCAGCAGTGGCCACCACGTGACCCCAGGAGGCCCAAAAGGCGAACACAAGAAAAGGTGAGGCATCGGTATCCTTTCCTCATCTGGAGCCAGGCCCCCCCGGGGCCTTCTCCTGGGACAAGCTCATCCCGAGCCGTTTTCTGCAGCCCCAGGGCGCAGGGGACGGCCCCTCGGAGCCCGAAGACGGCCGACAGCCTCAAGGACCCGAGTCCGTAGGGACTCCCCTCCTTGATTAAAAGAGCAAGTCAGTCAGTCAGTCAGTCAGTCAGTCAGTCAGTCAGTCAGTCAGTCAGTCAGTCAGTCAGTCAGAAGCCTTGTGCCAGACGGCGCGCGAGCAGGGTGAAGCAAAAACGATCGCGCCTGCGACAGGGCCCCTCGGCACTTCATCCAGACACAGGCCTTGCAAGCATGGATGGCTAAAAACGTGTCAGAGAGGAGGAGGAGGAGGAGGAGGAGGAGGAGGAGGAGGAGGAGGTGGAGGAGGAGGAGGAGGAGGAGGAGGAGGAGGAGGAGGCAGAGGAGGAGGAGGGAAGGAAGCGGAAGGGAAGGAAGGAAGGGAAGGGAAGGGAAGGGAAGGGAAGGGAAGGGAAGGGAAGGGAAGGGAAGGGAAGGGAAGGGAAGGGGAAGGGAACGGAAGTGAAGGGAGGAGCAAAACCATGACAAACCTCGAGGGTGCAGCGCGGATCCGACCGCGAACCTCCGAGAGTCTATGTTCGTGCGGCTGCTGTTCGTTTTCGGCTCGTGGCGGCCCTGCCTCTCTCGCCTCGGGCCTCCCAGGAACACCGACGAGGGAAAGGAGGAGCAACAACAACGAGGAGGAGGAGGAGGCGTAGGAGCAACAACGAGGAGGAGGAGGAGGAGGAGGAGAGGCGGGAGGAGCAACGACGAGGAGGCGGGGAGGAGGAGGAGGAGCAACGACGAGGAGGACGAGGAGGACGAGGAGGAGGAGGAGCAGGAGGAGGAGGAGGAGGAGGGTGGCCACGTCGACATCGACAATCATGCCTACAGCGTCGAGGAGGAGGGGGAGGAGGAGCAGAAGAAGCAGAAGAAGAAGAAACGAAACGATTGGAGGAGGATGGGAGGAGGAGGAGGAGGAGGAGGAGGAGGGAAATTGGTGAATGCAGCGATACACGCACAACGACTACGCAAGCTAGGACTTAATATACGGCATAGGACTTTCTCTCACCGTACGCCTGGCAGCCATGGATGCTCGCGCTTGTCGGCAGTCAACAACGTATCGTCATCCCTCCCGTCTCTACTTCACGTCGCTCGGAGCCCTCACAGAAGCGCAAACAATAGCCGACCTTACCTTATCATTAGCGCTCAAGAGATGAACAGCTCCGTACCGTTTCGAGGTGCCTTCCATATTGCGCTCACCGTCGCCTTGCAATGTAGCATACATCTGCCGCACATTGGTACACAAGATGGCGTGTTTGCAGTACATAATGAAGATTGGTCGGATTAACCACGATTTGTTTCAGTACCTGCGATCGAGATATGGATGACATACTCGACCTAAAGAAACGACCAACTCACTCGAGAAAGGAAGATCACACTGGAAAGACATTACCGTACATCTTCCAACCACTACGAAGACGACGGCAACGATGCCGTAGCGCCACCACTCAAGAACAAAAGGAAACACAGACCCGGGAACCACTACAACGCACAGCGACACCTAACGACTATGATCCAGAGACAGCCACAGTACTCAGAGCACAAGTTCAACGTAACGAACAAGACGAAGTTACCAAGGCCAACCTTGACAGCACCTTCGTCTACATCCCGCTACACCTGGGGCATACATACATACAAGTGCCGACGAAAGATGGGTGGACTTATACGGTGAACCAGAGTCACATCACGATAGCATACCTACCAGACATCAACAACTGCTACTTCAAGCTACTGCACACATGACTCACCACAGCACTCAACTAGTGGAAGCGAATGAGCGTGCACACCAGTCTGCACATCCACTAGTCCCAACGCCCATTCGACATACAATTCTACCTACTTGCACAATCCAGGCGTGATGGGATGCCGTTCGTACCAGGCGGCACGGAAGAACACGAGCTACGCCACCAATGCGTGATTCATCTAACATGGGCACAAATTTCCGGCAACATCGACAACGGCAAGATACGACTTGAACATCCTCACTACAATCAAGACGGTACAGAGGAGGACCCCAAAGAGACCTTCTACCGCATCTACAATCAGCAGCACACCAAGCGACACCAACTCGCATTGGACGAGAATAACGGCATACATACCAACTACAAGACCACGGAGAACTACACGTTCGTTTGCTCCATGACCAACGGCGACAACAACATCTCGACAGGCTCGGAGCTACTATCACTTACCAACCTACTGGCGGACGTTCTCCACACATCAGGAGCAGCAGCGCTGCCCCCGCCATGGGCCACATCAATCAGTGGCTGGAGACGCAGGCACATCACTCCGCCAACCTCGTACGAGCAACCATGCTACGTTGAACTCAGAGAAACATCAAGCTACATTACCGAGATGCTTAACGAGTGGACTGGTACGGTGAGGCAGCCACCGTCAATACGCCAACCCACACTACCACCAACACACTACGAGCTATTGGCACCTACGCACGCCAACCCACAATGGCCACCGGCGATCGGGGAGCTCTCCCCTATACCAGTCGAGAACATATATCCACGGCACCACAAGAAGACCATTGACGACCTCTGGCCATACTATACTGTCCGCACCTACAATACCGCACCCTATGGGTACGACTGTTGTCTTGAGACCTCCCACCAAAATTAGAAGCATCCCGACAAACATCGACCGCGACCACATGCATTATGACTGGATACAACAGTGACTCGAGGAAAAACGACAAAATGAGCAAACAGAGCACAACTTCCAGGAAAGGCTGAGCAAAGAATGCACAGGACATACCCTGCCGCCACCTCCACATCAGCTCATACCTCACATCGGCTTCAGACCAAGACCGCCCGAAGGCAACCGCGACCGGCCACCGGCTCCATCAGCACACCAACGAACACCACCACAGAAGCCGAAAATGCAAACCCCTGCCACAGTCCCAAGCAGCTACACCACTGCAACCTGTAGTAACCAACCCTTGGGGTGAGTGTGAAACTACTACAGCACAAACAACAGCTCAAGCGAAGCAACAGACTACTGAACCGCACGCAGACGAGGACAACAGTGACCAGGTTAGCAGTGCCCTTCACAGTAACATCACTACCTCCCAGCCAAGGACATAACATGCACTGCCCATCAGGCTGGACAGCGTACAGAGCCAAGGACGACGACAGCGACGCAGACAGCGACGAGGAGAGCTGGCACTACGCAGTCTACTACAGGGAGAACGACAACACTTATACGTACCGTTTCCCGAACGACCACTTCCTCTTGGATGGTTGTCACAGGTACCTTGACGAGTACAATCGCAAATACTTCATCAGCAACTCCTACCCGTAGATACTGCCGCACCCACCGCTTCAACCAGACGCAAACGCTACGCCACTAACTTCCTTCCAGCTTCCACCCACGGAGCCGACCACATACTTAGTACTCAGGGACGCCAAGCCAGCAGACACACACCTTCCACCAGAGCGACCACGACCAGAAGAGGCACCACATAGAGCTAGGTCGAAGGAGACAATACTTTGTACTGCACTACAGGCAACATGAAGACTTCAGACTAGCAGCCAATCTAACGAACAGACACTTTTCCACCTTACTCAGCACACCTACGGCAATACTTAATCAAAATAACCCAACAAGCCATCATCACTGTATCACAATGACTCCACTCTTGTCACGACTACGTTGACGACATGAAATATGACTGGGCAGTCAATATTCACGACGCAGCACGGCTCCTACAGCACATCTGCAGTCAGAGCGACATGCCCTGCAGAACAAAGGGCGACAAAAATAGCAGCCTCTCATCATCCGCATCGAGCCCCAGCAGCGAAAACCAGCCAGACGACACACCAGTACCCGCACCACAAGACGCCCGAGCTACACGACTGGCCGCTACAACTACGCAAAAAACAAAACCAACAAACACCATTGCACCAACAGCACAGCATACTACTACCACCAGGCTGATACAAAGCCCGATACACCCACCACCGCCGGGCCTCAAGATCCCAGTGATCTGTCCACCACCCAAAGCAGCAGCAGCAGCAGCAGCAGCACAGCTCTGGCTCACCGCCGTAACAATGGCAGAGCTAGCACAACAGACCTTTGCGACCCTGCTAGTCTACTTTCGGCCAAAAGCACCACCTACCAGCCTACACGACGGACAAACGGGCTCAACACCGGTATCCCAACACGCTGGGTACATTGAAACACCGTACGTAGAGGACAGCAACGACCAACAGTGCCTACAGCACTTGGACACAATTCGAAACCACCAGCAGAAGTACCAACAATATCTTGAAGCAGTCCGACAACGCGACATACGCAACAGGGAATCACAGCAGCGCCACGAGGTTACGACAGCACTGGCAGCACCGACTATGCTCAAGCCCGAGTTCCCTACACCCGACCACAAAGCTCCACCTAATCTAAACCGAGGCTTCCTGCCCGCCGTGCAGATGGTGGAGGCTACTGAGGTTAGAACATCGATTTCCACGACGCCATCAATTTCAACCCGTAAATCGGTTTCTAATAGGACAAGTTTCCTACCTACTGCGCAGATGCGGAGATTACTTGGGCTAGTCTACGACCTCACATCTTCCACAGCAACGGCTTTCAGAACATAAATTACCACAGGACGGGAATATCTCATTAGCCACTCCTCTCCTCACACATGTTGCTTGCACTCAGCTCTGTCTCCGTTGATTTGTTACCCCACGGCTGTGAGGGCCACTTGTCTCCTCAAATACATCCGTTTGTTTTGGCACACGTTTGCTTTACTGATATACATGTGTCCTCGAGTATGTTATCCTACGCTTGGGTTTTACGTACCCGCTGAGCAATTACTTGCCTAATGGCCCCCCCTGCTGTTGTTTGTCCCTCCTCTCTTATTTCACCTTTCCCGCTCCGCTGGGCCGTTCACCTCTCCTCCCCCACGGGTGCCATCCCCTGCTGGTGGCATGGGGAGGGGTATGGGGCCTGGTGTCCGCGTGCGGATGCTAGGCGCATACCCCTCGCTGTGGCGCTGGCACGGTACGGCGCCTGCCCCCTCTTCTTCTTCCTGGGTCGCTGCTGCTTGCTGATGGGCCATGTAAGAGATGGGAGATTCTACAGCGCCTCGTCTCCCCACGTACCTTCAAGCTCGGCTGTACATCTATATATATATATATATATATATATACATATACATGTTCACGCTCTCCTCCTCTACTTGTACACGTATTCCGGCTGTTTGAGCAGATGAATGTACTTTACCATCTTTCGGACCCCCCTGGATACAGGGAGTGGCCCCGCTCTAGCCGTCGCCATATGTATAGATATATTGCCTAACTCTCTTGCGCGGTTTGGCACGGCAGCATACGCTACTTCTGCAACTCTGAGCCAGCCAATAGTATCTGCACCAGCCCTTGACAAACTTCTGAATAGCCTCTCGGCTATCTTAATTTAACCGTCGACTGTTATTATCGTTGCTTGCTACTCGCCACCTTGACTTACTTCTGGTTGGAACGGGTCACTCGGATCGATGGAGGAGGAGGACGTCGTTATCGATCAACTCCGTACTTTAAGCCCGCTTGTAACTTGTAATCTCTGTTTGCCCTCTCAGACAGACCAGCCATTGTCTATGCGCCAGCCTCAAGCTCAGCTCGGATTAGTTACACGAGCAGCACACTGTAGACATTGCCCAGCCACTCAACTGTACCGCCAACATCAGGAGCAGTTGTTCCGCTGCTAAGACACTCTCCGCCAGAATTGCTACCTCTGGGACGGTGGAGGTGGTTACCTGGACGGGGTGGGGAGTTGGACTCAGTCCAGTTACTAACAGGCCAGCCTATAGGAGCCAACCTAAGCATGTTTTACCTATCTCTTGCCTCTGACGTCGCCTGAAGTGATCTATTACACAATTGACCTTGCCATCCTTGACTTGAGAGCGGAGCCCGGTAGTGGGCTTAGAGGTGGGGGTGCTGGGGAATTGTTTGAAGAGTTGGGTCTGGAGGGACCTCCGACCTGACTGCTGCTACATGGCCTCTGAAGGTCGTAGTCAGCGCTTAGCCTGCAGCTGTACTTCGCCATACTGTATCCCTGCAGGCTTGCACGCGTATTCCGCCTCTCCCTCGCTCGGTGCCTCCCCTCGTTAAGGCTATTCAGCTTGATCTCGATCGGTCGTTCCTCGCCTCACACCGCCTGGCTGGCGCATACTCTGTGTCCCCGAGGGCCCACACTCTTTGCCTGTTCCCTTTGCCTGACCTTTTCTGCTGCGCCAGCCAGGCGTAAGTTGTTTTTCATTCCGCCTAGGTCAGCGAATTCTGCCGCATCATCACTACACGCAACAGGCCCCGCCTCATGTTTGCCTAACGTCCAAAAAAGAGGAGGGGAAGAGAAGGAGGATCGGGCGATGGCAGGACTGCCGTCTCATTCCACTAACCGGAATTGCCGTCACCCAACAGCACCAGCTACAGCAGACCTGGTTGAGTGATTCCAATCCATATTGTGGGCTTCGGGGCCCAATCACTAACCGGCTCCCCTTAACCAGGGTCCTGGCTATACCCGAGAGGAGGAGGAAGAGACGAGAAGAGAAGAGAAGAGAAGAGAAGAGAAGAGAAGAGAAGAGAAGAGAAGAGAAGAGAAGAGAAGAGAAGAGAAGAGAAGAGAAGAGAAGAGAAGGAGAAGAGAAGAGAAGAGAAGAGAAGAGAAGAGAAGAGAAGAGAAGAGAAGAGAAGAGAAGAGAAGAGAAGAGAGAGAAGAGAAGAGAAGAGAAGAGAAGAGAAGAGAAGAGAAGAGAAGAGAAGAGAAGAGAAGAGAAGAGAAGAGAAGAGAAGAGAAGAGAAGAGAAGAGAAGAGAAGAGAAGAGAAGGAGAAGAGGAGAAGAGAAGAGAAGAGAAGAGAAGAGAAGAGAAGAGAGAGAAGAGAAGAGAAGAGAAGAGAAGAGAAGAGAAGAGAAGAGAAGAGAAGAGAAGAGAAGAGAAGAGAAGAGAAGAGAAGAGAAGAGAAGAGAAGAGAAGAGAAGAGAAGAGAAGAGAAGAGAAGAGAAGAGAAGAGACAGAGAAGAGAAGAGAGAGAAGCGAAGAGAAGAGAAGAGAAAGAGAAGAGACGAGAAGAGAAAGAAGAAAAGAGAAGACAAAGGAGAAGAGAAGAGAAGAGAAGAGACGAGAAGAGAAGTGAGGACAAGAGAAGAGAAGAGAAGAAGAAGAGGAAGAGAGAAAGAGAAGAGAAGAGAAGAGAAGAGAAGAGAAGAGAAGAGAGAAGAGGAAGTGAAGAGGAAGAGGAAGAGAAGAGAAAGAGAAGAGGAGAGGAAGAGGAAGAGGAGAGAATAGAGGAGAAGAGAGAGAGAGAAGAGAAGAGAAGAGAAGAGAAGAGAAGAGAAGAGAAGAGAAGAGAAGAGAAGAGAAGAGAAGAGAAGAGAAGAGAAGAGAAGAGAAGAGAAGAAGAAGAGAAGAGAAGAGAAGAGAAGAGAAGAGAAGAGAAGAGAAGAGAAGAGAAGAGAAGAGAAGAGAAGAGAAGAGAAGAGAAGAGAAGAGAAAGAGGAGGCGAAAAGCAAGGCGCCTGCGGCTCGCAGGCCGACGAGCACCCCGCGGGCACCGCCCACGCCGGGCGAGCGCCCGCCACTGGCAGGACTGCCCGGAACGACCCGGCGGGGCTGCTGCTGGCCAGCGCACGGGCGCCTGCCGCGGGCGTCGTCGTCGGCGTCGTCGTCGTCGTCGCCGCCGCCGTCTCGTCGTCGTCGTCGGCGTCAGCGTCGTCGTCGTCGGCGACGGCGTCGGTGTCGGCGTCGGCGTCGTCGTCGTAATCGTCGCGGCCCCTGAGATCCTGGCGTTGCAACTTTTTCGCACTGGGCGTTTTCGCCCAACTTCGGGCCCCGGGACCCTCACAGGGGGGTCTGACTCGAAAGATGACGCAGAAAGATGGGGTCCGAAGCTCTGGTCGTAATTTTTCACGGTGTTGCATTTTTTTTCGTAACGTCGGATCTCAGGGGCCAGCATCGAATCGGGACGTCGAGAAGTCGAGTCCGAGTCCCCCCGTCGGACAGCCCAGACTCCTTCGCGTTGAGAAAAAAAACACGACGGGAGTTTTTTCGCTATGTTCGGCCTCTGGGGGCCCTCGCCTGGCCT